AAACTAAGGATGGATGGGAAACTGGGCTGGGCTCTGGTTGTGGGGTTCCTCGAATGCTGTACCGAGATCACACCTTCTGACAAGGAGGATCTAGTGACAGTGAGTAGGAAGAATGACGTGATGAAAACAGTGTTTTAAGAAAGAGCATGAGAATGCATTAGATGGAAAATGAGAGGCAAGACCTCTGATTTCTGAGGAGTGTTCCCAGAGGGAGTCCATGGGAGGGATGTGGGCATGGAGTAAGGAAAGAAACTAAAAACCACTTAGAAGGAAAATATTGGGTTGTCGGAAAAGTCATAATGCATTTTTGCAATGAAAAACATAGAAAAAAATACGTCATGACTTTTCCGACAACCCAATAGAAGAGGCCAAGAAGTATGACCGGGGTCCTGGAAGATGGGGAGAGAGGAAGGAGACAATGGCGATCCTGGCATCTCCAGTGTGTAACTGAGCAGTGATAACCTCTGGAGGAAGCAAGCAGTTCAGGATACTGAACTCACTGGATACACAGATGTCATGTTCTGCCTGTAGATAGGTTGACTTTTCAGAGCAAGAGGGATGAGCAGGTGGGGAGCACCCACAAGGGAGGATCTCAGGAGGAAGGACCAGCAAAAGGACTGGAGAGGAGCCCACCTCTGAGAGGTGACGGCAAGGGTTCCAAAGCACATTAGGGTCTGCATGGTGGTGGGTGAATGGGATGACACAGGGCTCAAGTCTGACCCCAGCAGGATTCTCACTGTCTGACCTGGAGCTTCTGAAACAGTTGCAACAATATCTAGCCTGCCCGAACATCCCCTGGCCTGTTGGGTTGACTCCTCTACTAGTTCTGAGGGCTCCTCCCTGCCCCAGCCCTCTGCCATGCTGGCCTTTCCCCCCCTTCTCCAAAAAGGCTTCTAGATGTTTCCTCCTGGCTGCATTGTGGGTGAGTGGGCACCCACCCAGGAGAGAAATTCAAGAGTAGAGAGTGGTGGAAAGCCAGTGGATGACAGTTTTCCTCAGCCTAAACAAAGACATCTATCTGTGCAGCTGTCCCATGGGGGTGCGTGCATCTCATTCAACGTCTCAGAATAACTCTGTGTATGTTCAGTTGGTGAAAATTTGAGCTGTGCCTTGTGATTTGTGCACACTTCTGTGTTGTATTTCAATACACAGTTTTTAAAAAACCCACAATCTGAAGTAGGTAGCCCCATGATCAGGGGGAAACTGAGGCTTGGAAAGGTTAAGTGACTTGGCCAAGGTCAGGGTCAGTAGCTGAGATTCAAAGCCAGGTCTGCGGGACTCAGAGGTGGGTGCCTTTCCCCCTCTGACCACTCAGCGGACACTTCTCCTTGCTGCTCCCCCATGGTGCTAAGATGACCATGGACCATGTTGGGTCCTCAAACCCAGGTTTTGCGTCAAGCCTCCCCTTGAAATATGTGCCTTCCAACCCTGACTTATTTCTGTTCCTAATAAATGGTCATTGTCATAGCACCAGTGCAGCCATGTGGCACATTTCTTAGTGAGGACCTAGGACGTGGAGGCCAGAACTGGAAGGGACAGGGCCCCTGCTCTGGGGCCTGGGCTCAAGTTCATCCTGTTTAGAGTCTTGATTCTTACTAGGGGCTACAGTGTTGATCAGGGTCTGGGCCTAACACCTATCAGCCAACTTCAGCCCAATGGCCAAACTGACAGTTGAGTTTGGGGGACTTAGTTCCAATATGGGACTTAGTTGGAACCCATATGACAGCAGCTGTGGGAACATACTTGATTAATGTGCAAAAGGCCATTCTGAGTGTCTCACCTGGTATCTCAGTCTAGCAGGCTGTACCCCTTGCCTGGACATAGTGGTCTGGGGTCTGCATAGATTAATGGGAAGTGTGGGACATGGACTTGGCACTTGGACTCTCCACATTTCTCCATATCAGGCTCCAGCCCCTTAGACCAAGTTTCATCCAACACAGATGCTTGATGAGGGAGGGCTGGAATGCCAGGTGACAGGAGGAAAATGGGGACCAGAGGACCTTGGTCTCAGCAAGGCCAGGATCAGAGCAAGACAGCAGAGGTTGCTTGGGGAGGCTCAAAAAAGGGTGAGAGTCATGGCAGGGACCCCTGAACCCTATGGTTTTCTCCCAGTCTTGAAGGACTGCACACTCAGAAGGTAGATGGTGGTGAGGGGAGGCTGCCTGTGGCCTATCACAGTTGGCAGGGAGGATGCCAAGCTGGCATGATGAATAGGGAAGTGGCACTTATCTCGCTCAAGTGAATCCTGGAGGGATATTATTTGGGGGGGCACGCCTGTCATTGTCCAGGGGTGTTGTTTCCATCTTCCTCTGTCCCGCACATTCTTTTCATAACCCTCAGCAATAACAACACATTCTACTTACCACACCTCACCCCCAACACTCATGTATGGATGCCAAGTCTCCCTTCCAGAGATAGAAGACCAATCTTAGCCTTCCTGTACCTTTCTGGTTCATGTTGTGGCTTCTCCCCTAACCAAGATGTTTCCTCATGGAGGATAATGTCTCCTCCTGATTCTTCCTCTCTCCAAGATCAGACCTGGTACCTTTCCTGAAAACCTTGCCCTGCTGGCTTCACAGGTACTGGGAGCACTTTGTCCTTTTGATCATATGTCTGCCTCTTGGGCCAACCCTGTCTCTTAACTGGATTTCATGGCTGCTCCTATTCCTCTCCAGCCTCAGGCCAGTCCACTCCCCCTTCTACCCCCCATGACTTCATTGGTCTTAGATTTCAGACAGGGACCTTATGAGGAATAAAGTCCCCTCCTACCTCTCCCCCAGTCCCACACAAAGGTCCCATTCCTCACCTACCACCCAACCCAACCTCATAGCCCTAGAGAGCGACACCCACCACTCACAAGGAAGCAGAAAAGCAGGGGGGCTTCTTGGAAGAAGGCCCACAGTGATCTAGTCTCCACACACACACCCAGCTCTAGGCGGCCTGTTGGTGCCCTTGTCCCTCAGAGGAATAACCCAAAATAAAACACGCATGATGCTATCACTGAAGCTAGGCCTAAAGCATGAAGATACAATACATAGGTCCTCCATTCCAAAAGGGGCCAGACCAGACCACATGCCACATTTTTAAAGCAAATGTTTGAGAAGTGACCCTCAAGCCCCTCATCCACAAGGATCAGAGTTTGGAGATGAAACAAAAGGAGTGATGGGGAGGATTTTTAGAGTGTTACAAGCCCTATACCCAGAAGGCAAGTCTCACTTGACAAGATCAGTGACAAGAGGCTTCAAGGCACAAAGAGTTGGCATGTCCCAGCGTTTGGGGGATGTGCCCATTGGAGAAATCTAGTGGCCAGGTTGTGGTTGGTTGGACGTCTATCCAGGACAGAAGGAAGGACAAGTGACTGCATCGAGGACAGCCTACACTCCAAGGGTATCTGGGCCAAAGGTGCTCAAGGCTGGAGCTGGTTTTTTCCATTTCTTCCCACTCTCCAAACTAGAAGAGTGAAGGAACTCCTACTGAGAAACCTATGTCAAGTTCATGGGCAGAAAACCAGGGACAGTCGATGAGGCAGAGAAAGTACAGAAGCTTCCAGAAGGACTTATAGGGCAGACTCCAAAGACTCCATAAGAACACCCAGGAGGAAAAGGCTTCGAAGATCTGGAGGCCCAGAAAACACGTTGCTATCTTACAACAGTGCAGTCAAGAACTTCTGGGCTCCTTTTCCCCTCGTCTGCCCCACATTTCAACCCCAAGAAGATCAATAACAGCAGCTAGTGGGGGCTGGGCGGGAAGGAAAGAGGTCAACCTCACCCCTTCTCACTCCACCTTCCCCAACTGCCACTTCTGGACAAGCAGGCAGCCTGCTTACAGCCAGCCCTTGCTGGAGAGGGGAAAATTCCTACCCCTGGATAAAGATCCGAGTGTTGATTACTACACAAACTAAACATTTCCATGTACTAACTTAAAGTGAATATAGAATTTATTACCTGAGAATGACCCAGATAAGTCATGGGACTGCCCAGATTTTCATCCAGAGACAAGAGAAAATTCTTCCACTGCATAAATTTTATAGGAAAGTGGGAGACAAATATAGTTGCATTCTAATTACATTCCAACAAGTTATTCTTGTTTCAGTCCTGGATATAGACACAAAGCCAGTCAGCAAAAAGAACTGATGAAAGTCAGAGAATACTATGATAACGTAAGGATCCTTAGGCTGCTCAATCGAACCCTGTCATTTGACAAATGCCATGCTTGTAATAATGATGATGATGATGATGTTGATGATGATAATGATGATAGTAAACTCTCATTGGCTCATATTTTGCCAATCTCTAAGCCCCCTAAATTTTAATTCTTTAATCTTCACAATAGTCCTATGCTTATTGAGCAAATGAGCTAATGGTGATCTAATGCTGGGCTTGCAGCAGGGCTTAATGCTGATAAAACAAATCCTTGCTTCATCTGATCTCCCAGCCCCAGGGAAACTTAAGTGATGGGGAAGGGGTGCAGAAGCAAGCTATGCACTTAATTGTCTTTTCTACCACTCTCCATACTGTCAGGTACCCTTGACCAAGCTCAACTTTTGCCCATGGTATTCCACCATCCACCCTAACTTCTCCAGCTACAAAAATCCTGCTCACCCTTCAAAGCCTACCCCTCTTTGCAGCCACCCTCCCCCAACTCAGCCCGAATGTCCTACAGCTCTCAGCTAAGCAGATGCCTTCATTTACAGAGGGAGAAGTGGCCCGGCAAAGGGATGAGACTTATGCAAGATCATGCAAAAGAATTAAGTCTCATTAGAAGGAGAATTCAAGGTTCTGATACCCAATCTAAAACAGCAATTCTTAGCATGTTAGGATGGGGTGTTGTGCCTAGGCATGCTCACTCCCAGAGCGATAGTGTGAGCTCTGTGGGCATCTGATTCTACAAAGAAGTGGTGGGAGAGAACTAGCTTCAATTGGATGACACAGCAGTAAGTAGGGGTCTCAGTGCACCGGGCTCAGGGGCTCAGAGGCTGTGGGGCAGGGGCAAGGCCAGGGCTACCCTAAGGTGAGGTGAGTAGAAGCAGGGATACCACAGCTTTCCTTGTGCTTCTCAAACAGCTGATCCAGAGCCTTCATGTAGAGCATGTGGTAGTGGTCAACTTCCTTCTCGGTGGGGTGGAGGCACTGGGGCAATGGGATGGGGTGGCCCACTGCAGGGAGAGGGAGACAGGTGAGGCGAGAGGCCTCTCCTGCCCACACAGCTGACAGCACCTTTCTTCCCTGGAGATGGGCACTCACCCGCAATGGTGACAGGCACAGGGAAGGGCAATAGGCCCCAGGAGTTGGCCAAGAAGAGACAGTGGCCACAGAAGATGCAAGAAGCAATGCCTATGAGCTTCTTGAAAGTGGTCTGGCACAGATACTGCCAGGAGTCTGTGGCAAAAAACTTAAGTCTGAAGATATCATTCACCCCAAAGGAGTAAATAGACACTAGGGTGCCCTGGGAAGGGGCAACAATATAGAATAGGGGTGGTCAGGTCAGGCTTTTGGAGTACCCCAAGATGGGAGCCCTACAAAGCAGCAAATCCCTCCCCACACCTCATGATTCCACTTCCCAAGGCCTTTAAAACAAAGGACGATGGCTACAAAGAAAGATCTGGAAGAAGGAATTCACATTTCCTGAAAAACAACTGTGTACTAGGCCTTCATATATACATTTCCTCACCCAGTCTTTACAACTACATCGTTGCAAGGCAGGTATTAACTCTATTTCGCAGGTAAAGAAACACGTCCAAGGTCTTGCCTTTAAGATAGTGTCAGAGGGCCGGCCGAGTGGCGCAATGGTTAAGAACTGGCTTGGGACGCCAGAGGGCCCCGGTTCGGATCCCACATATGAGGGCGAGTGACGCTG